TGTGTCAAATTTTTAAACGACTTCAAAAAGGAAAAAATGAGGTTCTCATTTTAACCTGTAGGTATGTTTTTGGATATTTGTACACGATTATCTTTGGCTGAACCGATTTTGATGTGGTTTTCAGAAAAGTGTTTTATACGCTTAGGAGTGCGTTTTACTTTAAAAAAGAAGAGGTTGAGATCGTTTTGTTAAAACATACCCTATAAAAGAACTATTGAGGAGAAAGATCAGGAATAGCCACCTATAAGGGGTTACGGGTCCTCTAAATAGACCAACTCTTGAGCCCCCACTCTGCAAAACCTGTTACGCTATCCACATCATTCCAAGGTTAAAAATAGTTCCTGGCTGACCTGAATCTAGACTGAATCAAGGTTGCCTACTCAGCCAAAGTTTATCTTTAAAAAATCTCAATAAAATATAATAAAATCTCAATGAATATACAAAACTATCATCAAATCGCAGATAAAACCTGCTTTCACTCGACATGTAGATACCTAGGTAGATATCACAGAACAGATAAACTAATCGAGATAAGTCGATAGTTTTCAAGTGTAAAACAGATAGCTATAAAAGGATATTTCCTTATATAGCACTGAACTGTATATCGCGGTAAATGATAAAGTTTTGCATTAACTTCATTATGATAAATAATCGGTTTCATCTACCTGTGGATTCGTCAACCGAACTACTTTGGTCTACGATCCGCTTATTAGAACTCTTTCACATTTAAGCGACTTTCGCTCGCTGCGCCTATAATAACGGTACTCAAAGAGTTAATTGTCACCCGGAGACGAGCCAGTATCCTTACTAATATTATAAATCGAAAAGTGAGTTTGTTTGTTTGTTTTTTTGTTCCGCTTTCACGCCATAACTACTTAACCGATTGTTTGAATTTTTGCAATCGAAATTTTTGAAATTTCGATTGCAACGGCGTGAAAGCGGAACAAACAAACAAACAAACTCACTTTTAAATTTATAATATTAGTAAGGATTTAAGAGTGAATCAGCATTTTTTAAAATTTGGAACCAGTAGGGTATCCATAACCATCTATACCGGTCGGGCCTCGTGATAAATTCATCGTTACTAATAAAAAAAGGGAACTTCAGATGAAAATATCTGAACGGGGCCCCTTCCACCTGGGGCCCGTGGCATTTAGTTGACTTGCTACCCTGTAGTGACGCCACTGTCTGGAACACTACCGAAATCTGATTAATGATGATTAAATTTAGGTACCTAAATGTTTATATTTATGACTAGCTACTTCCGCGCGGTTTCACACGCTCTGCTCAGCTCCTATTGGTCGTAGCGTGATGTTTTATAGCCTATAGCCATCCTCGATAAATGCGCTATCCAACACAAAAAGAATTATTCAAATCAGACTTGTAGTTACGGAGATTAGCGCGTTCAAACAAACAAACAATAAAAGAAACTCTTCCGCTTTATATAATAGTATAAGATATAAGATTTTAAAATAATACCGTCTTAGCAGTAATAATATAATTATGCTTCTTATTCATTATTTTCATTTCACACGTGTTTTTACACAGCAATTATTGCTTTATTTCATAATGTTATGAAATAAATAATACTGATTGCGTAAAGTATTTAATTATTGTTGAACAAAAAAAACTAAGTTCGACATGCCTTTTAATATTTCTTTGAGGAACGGTAGTAGGTATTGATATAGGGTATCTGTTTACATTGTATGATAATAATATAATAAATCCGCCATCAGCGATTCATTATGTTATTTGTTAGTCTGATGCAATATCTAGTTGTACCAAGGACGTTCAAAATAAGGCGGACATAGTATCTTGAAACCACGACTGTGGCACCTGGCTACTATAGACTTACACAGAACAAAAACACATTGACACGAAGGACATCTGTCGTTTTCTTAAGTCTAGTAACCCTGGCATTTTGTTGCTTCAATCATTTGTAAGTGACATTATAACCGCCTTATTTCAAAGTCCTTGTGTTGTACTTAATAAAATTGGTACCCTTACAGAATAGTTGTGTACTTATGTTTAAATTCAATTTCAAAACAATTAGAAACCAATAGCTACATATTATGAACTTCATTCTAGGAGACTGCGTATTATTTGTCATCAATAATTTCAAATGGAATATCTTATTCGTTCCGTTTAAGTGCCCCATTCCTCATTCCTTCACATTATGAGAATAGCCGCGCGTTAGCAGAGCTTATTTCACATAGGCTACGTTTAGTCCTTTTGTGACGCGAGAGAAGCCGCGGATAAAAGCTAGTAGTTCATAATAACAATTGGATGAGTATTTTAATAAAGGAGTTTAATCTACTAATCTCTTATATCTTTGCACAGCTATTTTCACTATTTGCACAAAAAGGAACCTTAACTAACAAAGCTTAAAGTTCAAAACTGACCTGAAACACATCGACAGGTTCATCAAATTGTTCCACATCATATAATTTGGAATCCTTTTCTTCATACATTAGTCCCTTTATGGAGCATGCCTTGAACACCATGAGGTTCTTGGTAAGAGTCCCTGTTTTGTCCGAAAATAGGACTTCTACTTGACCTAACTCTTCGTTCAAATCTGATGTATTTGCTGCCGCTGGTCTTCCTGTCTCTTCGCACCGAAGGTCCTCGTCCCAGGCTATGAATAGTGACCCTGGAATAGGAGTTATTTTTTATTCATTTTGGTTGATTTTCATAGATTAAGTGTGGGAAAGCCATGCTTCGCCACGAATGGGCCGGCTCGACCGGAGCGATACCACGGCCTCACAGAAAATCGACGTGCAACAACGCTTGCGTTGTGTTTCGTCGTGTGAGTGAGGTTACCGGAGGCCCAATTACCCTTCCCTTCCCCAATCTCCCCAACTCCTGAATCCCCAACGATCCTCAAACTCTTAATCCCCCCAAAAGGCCGGTAACGCACTTGTAACGCCTCTGGTGTTCCAGGTGTCCATGGGCGACGCCGATTGCTTACCATCAGGTGATCCGTCTGCTCGTTTACCGGCTTATGCCATAAAAAATACATATTTTTTGTTTTACCATAAATGTATAGGTTGGTTTTGGGCTATAGACGAAATTTAAACAACATTCAGAAGTAATTTAAATTAAGTATTACATATAATATATACTGCCTCGTTGGCCGAGTGGTCGCAAGTGCGACTGTAGGGCAAGAGGTCTCGGGTTCGATTCCCGGGTCGGGTAAAGTATTACTGGGTTTTTAAAAATCTCAGTAGTAGCATGGAGTCTGGAAATGTGCCCGGTATATGGCATTAGGCTCACCCCCTATTACATGGGACTCATAACATAAATAGTGAAAAGTCGATGTTACATTGTACAGTGGCATTAAGTGCCGTAATGTGCACCTCTGCCTACCCCTTCCGGGATAAAAAGGCGTGATGTTATGATATTATGTAAGTATTACAATCGAAACATTCAATCTAATCACCATATCATCCAGTTCAATAACCGAGCATAATTCAAGCATTCATTGAAAACTTAGTAGTAACTTCTCCGATCTGAGAAATATACCTAAATCGAATAGAATCTTTAACAAAATAGTATTTCAAAGAACTTACCAATAAACTTATACAGCTCAATAGTAACATAAAGCGACATAGGTATAATATAGTAATAGAGTAACAAGAAAGAAAACAGATCTTGCAGGATATCGCCGAATGGAGCCGGGATTGGGGACCCAGGTCCCAAGTACAGGTCTCTCTCACGGTTCCGTCGCTCTATCCATAACTTTGCCACTAAAGAGATCACCATTTCGGCGATCAGCAACCCTATGAACCATAGCAACGACCGGTTAATCGCCAGCTCGCTTGATGAGAATTTGTTCCCTGTGTATTTTGAGTTAAGAGCTAGTTTCGTTTCTTCACCTGGAAAACAAATAGAGAACGCTTTTACATCTAAATCCCTAAACCAATTTTAATAAAAAATACAAGAAAATGAAACCTGTGTGGTTTGTTCTTGCCACACACTATGATGTTCTCTTCCATAATGACTATAATGGGTACATTTACTAACATGTAACTTCATATCCGCTTCACATCTTATCGAAATAACAATTTGTGAAACACACAAAGACTTGTTCCGTGTGAGAATCGAACCCACTCACCGGATAAAAATATAATATTTACTCAGCCAATTGTATCCCTTAGTAAATACACTATAACAGCTCACCCGTATAAACAGCACAGCCAATAGCCCATTCAGTATTCTTGACCCTTGATCCTCTCAGCATGAGATGATCTGGAGTCAGCACCAGACTGTCCTGATAAGGGATCTCCAGGCGACCGTAGAACGTGTACAGATCTGCCACTGGGTTGGGGACCTCGATTTTCATACCATGAGGTAGGATATCTAAGGAAAAAGGAGGTCTAAAATATAGAATGAAACGGCCTATTGAATTTTTAATTGACATTTTACCAATCATGTGACTGCCTCGTTGGCCGAGTGGTAGCAAGTGCGACTGCCGGGCAAGGGGTCTCGGGTTCGATTCCCGGGTCGGGCAAAGTATTACTTGGTTTTTAAAAGTTCTCAGTAGTAGCACGGAGTCTGGAATTGTGGCCGGTATATGGCAATAGGCTCACCCACTATTACATGGGACTCGCAACATAAATAGTGAAAAGTGGGTGTTACATTGTATAGTGGCATAATGTGCACCTCTGCCTACCCCTTCGGTGATAAAAGGCGTGATGTTATGTTATGTTATGTGATAATCTTGTGATATGTGCTATAATTGTAAAAAAATATGTAATTTTTCAAGAATGTTGTTCGTCCATGTGTCGTGATGGCCCGTTTAAGACAGCTTCTCATGCATGAGGGTGCGGGGTCGAAACCTATAAACGGCAAGTACCAATATGACTTTTCCGAGTTATAAGTGCTTTCTAAGATTATTAGATATATATAGATAGACACCACTGGCAAACGGTGAAGGAAATCATTGTGAGGAAACCAGGATTTATAATTTCTAATTATAAGTTTGAAATCGCCAACCCCCATTGAGCAAGCGTTGTAATTAATGCTCAAACCTTCTCCGTGTGAGAACAGGCTTTGCTCAGCATTGGGAACTTGTAGGCTGGTGTTGTTGTTCAGGAAAGTATACACATACAAAACACATGCTGGAATACTGTAACGTTACCCAATTTTAAGTCGTACTTAAACATCGTGCTATCTCTGTCATTTCACAAAGAATTAGCGGTGACAGAACTATACTTAAGCGCGAATTAATATTGAGTATTCGTACACTACTATGTCATGTAGTTTAGTACCTCCTACCTAACTTAGAGTCCAATCTTCAAAATTTTAATTCTATCTATTTTTTCTATTCTATTTACATTAAAATTCCGAACAGAGGCCTAAGTACAAGTTTGTTTCACGTTTAAAGTAATCGTTACGAGTACGCGTTCGGCGCTCTGATTGGTTGGTTCATTGGTGCTGGCCAATCAGAGGCCTAAGTACAAGTTTGTTTCACGTTTAAAGTAATCGTAACGAGTACGCGTTCGGCGCTGTGATTGGTTGCTTCATTGCTTGCCGGCCAATCAGATTGCCGAACGCGTACTCGTTTCGAATACTTTAAACGTAAATCAAACTCATAGATACTAAGTCCTCAGATTGAAAATCAACCAAATCTCCCAAATATTGTTCAGACAATGTTTAAAGAGTCTCCAGACTCTGATCTCCATATCGAGATTGTTTACTTAGCTTATGATTCGTAATCTTTACAATTACACTATACTCTAAAAGATCGTGTCAGGATGACGAATGAAAAGTGAGAAAAATAAAAGCACTTAGGACATCACAAATACGTTTATTGCCACAGTCAACTACATAACACGCATATAAAACAAAATGACTTATCTTACATCCTAATGCCAAATAATATCAGACTTTATTCGAATGGTGTTAAGGTACATTTTTTCGAGATTACTGAAGGGATGATCAATAGATTTCGTTATTTGTAAGTGATCACTGATCATGATTGATTTGTTAAAATGCTAATTGTCTATTACGGTAACTGTATCTATTTTGTAACTGTCAATTCGAACTTTCAAAGTGAGCTCGATCGAATTCTCGCCCGTCATTGGTCGAGATTATTCTCACAACCAAATGACATGGCGGATTGTGATCGAGTTCACTTCGATCTTTCTAATTGAAAGAAAGTTAGAGAATAGCCTAGTCTAGTAGCAGCCCATTTATAATTTAATCTGTGCACAGACAATATAATAATTTTTTTATAATAATATTACTTTATTTTTATAATAACTCGTGAGACATACTAAATTAGGCTGCGCGACATCGCCGCGACCGCGCACGCTGTTCATAAGGAAGAACCCCTCTGTGGTTCGAAACTAGTTGAGATTTTCTCAGTATATTCACGTCAGTAACCCGCGATTTTTAGTTAATATAACTTAATTCATTTTCTAACAATACTACATCCAGGTAAGGATTCACATTAAACATCCTATCAGAAACTTCAGTAACAAACACTTAAAACAAAAACACCACAAACTGTTAAACATACGTATATAATCAAACACACAGTTTCATGAGATATGACCAACACACACAGATGTCAGATGACACACCAAACACCACAGAATATACCTGGAGTAAACCCGACTAAAGGTGGTGGTACTCTTAGAGTCTTCAAATTGGTTTCCCCATCCAAATTGGCGGTGGTGACGTAGCATTTCCCCTTGTCCCCGGCGGAACAGAGGAGCACCAAGTCCGCTGGTACCTCCTTCCCTCTCCGCACTCGGACAAGAGTGCCAGGCGCGATTGAGGAGTTCCGCACTTCATTGATCACGCCTTTGTGGACTATTTCAACTGTAGGCCAATATTGAGTACTTGAGAAAAAAGTGCAAAAATGGAGTTTGCAATTCCATGTATCGAGAATTTCTAGTTATTAGACAATAGAAGATCAACATATACATACACAAGCAAAGTTTTGTTATCAATCGAAAAATCACGACATTTGTTCATACAAAAATAGTCTCTAAACATCAGAAATAAGGTCTATAATGGAGTACGTGGAGAAAGGTCACCAGTGACCGCTTGCTTCACTCTTCAAATTCACGTTTCGTATACATAAATAATAATTAACTAGGAGTCATTTGAGGAGGCCTATGTTCAGCGACGAAGTGGGCGTCTTGTAATACAGACATAAATCAACTCTTTTGGATCTTGGTACATTATACGTCATCGAAATGTTAAAAATTATAAATTTTACCAAAAAAGAACCTACTTACATCTACTTCTAATTTTTTACCGTGATGTCACGTGGATTAGGAAATAGCCCTCGCCAATTTGTATAGATAATAGTGTATAATATTTTGATTAGATAACAATTCATTTCAATTAAACTGATAAATGTATATATATCACTTTCATTTTGCAAATATTCAGATATTTAGCCCTTTAACCGCCGACAACGTAATATTACGGTTTTCGAAAGCTGTGTCCGAATCGCCACATACGTACAATCACGTTATTTTATTAAAAATCTTCTTATAGTGCACAAACTCCGTATAAAATGTGTCAATTTCAAGATGTAGGGTATAATCTTTATTGTTATGGATATTTCTCAATGTTTTGAGTGATAAATACTGTGAAATTTGAGGTTTAATTAAATTGTGGTCACCGTCTCCATTATCTGTATCGCCAATCACGTAATTTTACGAGTACTAGGGATGGGGCGAATTCGAAAAATACTTAATAGGTTGTCTAAGAACAAACAAGGCACTATAGATATTACTGTCACTATTTGCAATGAAAGTGTATACTTTCATTAGAAAATAACCATAGTGTTACTTTGATGCAAGTATTTGTACTAATTAAAATGTATTTAAGTTTAAAATTATTTAATATTTATAACAATAATATAAAAATTTCATAACGCAGAACCGCACTAGTGCGGACAATCGCCGGTCGCCATCATCGTAATATTACGTGCGGCCAAGGAGATTATAGCGCTGTATTGTGAGTTGCCTTAGCGCCGTCACCGTAAAATCACGTTAAACATTTATCACTCAATGCAACTAGTGTTGTAAGCCCTTTTTTGGGTTTTTGTTATTTCTCAAATAAATCAACACAGTCAAAACCAAATGTGTCCATTATGCAAAGTTAGAAGATGGTGACGCAAAAGTTTTTGATCAGAGACCAAGTGATCCACGAAATGAATACTTTGCATCTTTAAAACCTTTTGAGCTGGAAACCGTACTGTCGGAAATCCGCTCAGAAGTTTACATGAAATTATTAAACTGTCAAACACCAAGCGGTCACCGGTGACCGCAACCTATTGTTCTATAATTGTGTCTACAAAACCGGTACTCGACGAGTTAAATTTAATACGACATGCTCGTGGAGCATCGTCACCGTCGCCAGCAGGAGAACGGACGACGCCGTGCCCATTTCCCGAATACACATTTTCGTATACTTCGTTTGAAGATTGACAATTTTTAGATTATTTATTAAGTAGGTAAATAAAACATTGATTTTAATTAATAAAGAATATATGCATCGATATTAAGTGTTCCCAACACTGTTCCAACTTATACCTAAAGTGACGTGGCGCTGGAGGTAAGTTGAAAGTTCAGAATCTTGGCGGTTAAAGGGTTAGGAATATTTGTAGTTACCTAGAAATTATTTTTACAAGATTGCTTCGCGTTAGTGACCACTACTACAGTTCTAATGAGCCAAAATCGACAGTGGCGCCGTATGAAAGAACAAAAGAAATATTAGGCCTTCAACAACGTTATGGAGCCGCGGAAGACTTAACGGGTTGCCGGGGCTCCGGCTCGACGTGCAGGAGTAGGAACGGGATGGTTTAGTCAGTAAGAGTCTGACACTCCCTCTCGACTCACCCAGGCGGGAGCAGTCATTCGATGATTTTCCCCCTCAAAAAAAAAGGCCTTCAACAACGTAAAAGAATTCATAACATTGGGAGAAGCCCAATCCTCGTACACTACGGAATTATCAACTTATCAATACGTTTGGTCATAAAAAGGATTTACCAATGAGATCATAAACCATATCTCATTTTGTGAACCTTTGTACGCAACCAATACCGGTATCAATGAACTCGCAGATAACTTCGGATATACATATCTATCTTTATATCTATACAAAATGACTGTGACTGCCTCGTTGGCCGAGTGGTTGCAAATGCGACTGCCAGGCAAGTGGCCTCGAGTTTGATTCCCGGGTAAAAAAAATGCTTGGTAGTGGCACGGAGACTGAAATTGTGCCCGGTATATGGCAATAGGCTCGACCCCTATTACATGGAATTCCTAACATAAATAGTGAATTGTACGGTTAAGTGCCGTCATGTGCACCTCTGCCTATCCCTTCGGGGATAAAAGCCATGATGTTCTGTTATGTTATTTGATATAGGCAGATTTGATTTCACCAGTTCTAATCATAATAAGTTCACTTAGTCATAGTTTCAGGAACCACCATGTAATAAAACATTTGATTAATACAAACGCGGAACTCGTAAACTATCACTGATTTATTAGAAGATTGCTTTCATGGAATGACAAGTCATTAAGTGCACCAAACCGGACTGGGTAACTGATAAGATAACTAAGTTCCTAAGCACTTGCGCGTGGCGAGCGAAATTATTGTTAGACTATGTCACCGTCAAAGTGATTCTTATTATATGCAAACTAGTTTTGTACCTTATTAAATAAGTAGCTAAGGATATAAGTTTTTTTTAAGGGGGGAAAATCATCGAATGACTGCTCCCGCCTGGGTGAGGCGGGAGGGAGTGTCAGACTCTTACTGACTAAAAACCACCCCCGTTCCTACTCCTGCACGTCGAGCCAGAGCCCCGGTTACCCGTTAGGTTCTCCGCGACTCCGAAAGGATATAAGTTTAGGGTGTATTATAATTTGAAGTGATTAGTTTGACAAGCAGTATTGTGTTTCTGCTTAGGTTTGCTAACTTTAAAACTTTTTGCAAATAGCTTCATTTTTATTTTTTTTTGTTGACCTTTCTGGTGTAATTGAAATAAATGATTTTGACTTTAACGGATAAGTACCTAACGTCTAAAGTAACTATGCTTTGCAACAAGCTTTACACTATGCAATTAGCATCAAGCTTTAGAACCAGCATGTTAGAAGTTTCGTTTAATGTAAAACAAACTTTGTTCCTATGGTTTCTACCTACATTACTGAAAATAGTTGCAGTTATAGCGTTATTTTAATAAATTCTTTAACTAAGGGCTTGTACACAAAACTGCGATGCAATGCTAATTCGCAACGCAAAAAATTACGATGCGATTTCGTGCGACAAGGTGTCTCCCAGGGTGACCATTCCTTCGACGACCGTCAACCGTACTAAACGTATTTAAAATTGAAAACTAGGTCGTGACATGGGTCGTAAAAAGAAGCGTGCTCTTATTGCTTAGGAGATACAGGAAAAAGAAACAAAGAAGATTTTGGGAAGATAAGATTTTGATGCGCTAAGCGAATCAATTCGCAAGTTCTTGCGATGCATAGAAGAAGCTCGCACATTCTTGCGATGCGACGTGGCATCGCAGTTTTGTGTACGAGCCCTCACACCGTCACACAATTATTTTAAGGTAAGTCCGGAAAGCGAAAGGGTCGTTAGACTTTATCTACATGCTAAAATTAGCTACAATTTCATAATACAAAAGAAACACGTAATATGTGAATCATTAACGGTCATGTACATGGACTAACTAACAAATACCTTATCGACAAAGCCCAGCCTATTTTATAGAAAACTGCTGAAGTGTTCAACTGATTGAATAGTCAACTCATGACAAGATAAAGGTAGCGGTGTTGTATTCAAGGTTTTTTGATAGGGATTGCATATTTTCTTTATTTGGTATGTTTATCGTAATATTAGTTTTAGTGCTTTGAGTAAAACATGCATATCTTGCGTGGGCGAGGAGCTGGTCTATTCAGAAGACCCAGTATCCCCTTATGGTGGACACCGGGGTGGTTTAAGTGACATAATTCCTACGCTCAATAGTCTGGGTTCGAAAATAGCAAGTCGCCTTTTGGAAGTTTCCCCTCTTCGTCAAAAGAGGCCATTGTCACAATAGGAATAAAAATAAACGGCACTGAACATTTCACAATCCCATACAAATCAAGAAAATTTGCACCATATCGAATGCAAAACAACCTTTAACTTGATAACCTAAAGTCCAAAATGCAGTAATACTTAGATTAAAAAGTGTTTTGGGTCGTTATCAGTATATCTCACCTATCTGGTTGTTGACCTTGTTATCAGCCTTGTGCCTTAGCCAATCTTCGTAGCCTTGCTTCACAGCTGTTACCAGCACAACGAAGCTTAGGGGAAGAATACTCGTAAACGGAGACACTGGACTGTCTGCGAAAAAAAAAACATTTTAAAATTAGAATGACGTATAGGCAAAAAGACTAGGTGTTAAATCGCCTTTTTTATTTTAAAGGCAATAATAGCTAATGGTTTTAATTCGGAATAAAATGAATAAATTATGTTTAGGCTTACTTAAAAAACAATTTTACAAGGTAACTCAACTAATTTCAGGCCACGCCAGGGGCTCATAGCATCAAATTTAAAAAATCCCTTTTCTGAAGAGAATTCTTTTACTAAATACTAATAAACCTTTATAAATCGCAATCAAAGTTCAACCACTAGAAGACATATCACAAAGACAAATAGCTATTATTAGGTGCTTTAAAGGATTATTCCAATTATTCCAAGTTCCCAACCCTTCGCAAGTTAATTACGGCAATTCTAAATTAGAAATTACATATTATTAATCATCAATTTACAATTTTCAGTTCAGAGTTTCAGACTAGTATTAAATAATGAAACAAGGGTATAATTACGAGTTTACAATTAACATTTTAGCTATTAATAGTAAAGTAGACGATAATATGAAGAGATATACAGCCTTGGCCAAAAGTATTAGGCACCCTATGAATTATTGCATATTTTTGATTTATAGAGAAACAAAACTACTTTTGTTGATTAATTAACTTTATTTCTATTACAAACATACAAAAACATTAATATTTTGTTGGACCACCCTGTAAATTTATCACAGCAGCTACTCTGTGAGGCATACTGTGTACAAGGTTTACGCATTCCTCTTGAGAAATTGCTTCCCATTCGTGAAGTAAGGCGCATTTTAATGCAGTTTTTGATGTTGTGGAATATATTTTGATTTCTTTTTTTAAAATACCCCCCAAATGTTCAATTGGATTTAGATCCGGGAACTGGGCAGGCCAAACTAACAGGTCAATACATTTGTCAGTAAACCTGTGTAATGTGTCGCTGAATTATGACAAGGCGCGTTTTCCTGATGAAATTTAACACCGTGTAAATTAGTGTCACCAAAAATACACGAAAATGAAGGTATAACAGCACTTTCTAATACATTTATGAATTTTGCACTGTTCATGTGACCTTCGTAAATGCACATTATGCCGACTTCATTCACAGCCATGCAGCCCCAAATCATTACGAGGCTTCTGCCGTGGTTTATGGTTGGGACTACGCAATCTGAGTGATATTCTTCGCCTCTGCGTCGGCTCACAAACGTCACACCTGGTGTTCCAAATACCTGAAATGATAAAACAAAATTGACACAATACAAACATTTATAACATTTGAGTTTGAAGACTAATGCAATAATAATCGTTGCAATTGTGTTATAGACTCAATTAATAAAACTTACCTCAAAGTTTGATTCGTCGACCATTGTACATTTGAACAATCCTCCTCTGTGAAATGTTGGTGTCTCAGAGCCCAACCAAGACATTTTCTTTTGTTCTCTACTGTAAGCCACGGCTTCTTTCTGGGTTTGTAACCTTTTAAAACTGCTTCTATTAGCCTTCGTCTTGCAATCCGAGCGCTTATGCGTTTACCAGTCTCTTCAGATAAAGCTGCAGCAAGCTCCAAAGTATTTTTTTTACGGTCTTTGATACGCTCGCAGTTATGTTTCCTGTCCTGGTAGCTAGCAGTCACGCTATTTCTGCCTGTTTTTGTTTTATTCGCATCAGTACCGGTCCCAGCAAAACGTTTAATAGAAGATTGAACTGCGCATCGCGAATATTTTAACAACTTCGCAATTTCTTTCTGGGTCTCTCCTTGCTAATGTAAAAGTTTGACTTACACACGATTTTAAGACTAATTTCGTTTCTCTTTAGCATTTCTAAATAAATTTGTTCTCTATTTAATCAAAAAACTGCAAATGTTCTGTCTTTAAGCGAAGACTTCGAAATACAGACTGATCAGACATTAAACGTAAGTTTTGTAAAAAAATAATATTTCGTTATTGATGCACCAGATGTTATACAACCACTCAAATATTGCCGCCCAATATCTTAAATAGCGGTTTATGACACCGAGATCATCTTTCAAAAGAATATCAACTAATTGTTTAAATAGCACGTGTGCATGGGACCTTTATTGGGGGTGCCTAATACTTTTGGCCAAGGCTGTATAAACTGTGTAAGTGGTCAATCGATGTATGTACATTTCCTAGAGAGATAACGTTTACAAGTGCGATTGGTCATTGCGTTTGTCATACTGCATACGAATGCAAATCTACGCAAAAGGGTAAGTAGCTAGAGATACAACTACGCAGCTGAATGTAATTTCAATACCTATGTTTATGCTAGAAAAAAATAAATATAACCTAGCAGGTAACTCGACAAAAGCACTTATACCACGATTTGAATATAGACAAACCATTTTATCTGCTGTCCGCGACTTCATATGTGCATTCCGTTGCATTTTTTTCACATAACCTTTCTCCGGTCAATAATATACAAATAAATGAAAGAATTATCCGATTTGGTACTGTCGTTCTGAAGTTATGCGCGTACATACATTTGGGATTTTTTTTAATAACTAGATATCGTGAGACACACTAAAAATGTATAAAAATAAAACTAGAAGAGTTTTTCTCAGTATATTCACGGGAGTTTTTTTTTAAAGGGGGATAATCATTGAATGACTGCTCCCGCCTGGGTGAGGCGGGAGGGAATGTCAAACTCTTACTGACTAAAAACCACTCGAAGAATATTCACGGGAGTAATCCGCGATCTTTAGTTAATTTCGGGGATTGTGATGTGTGTGATTCCATTTTTAGATTATTTTGAAATAGAAAGTACCAATAATACTATGCCGATGCCCACCAGTGACACAAACCAGCTAACAACAAATCCATCACATACATCAGTAGCGCTATCACAAAATGCGCAGAACAATGAAAATGATAAACAGGAGATAAACATTTGAAGCAGCCAGGTCAATCACAATAAGCTACACTACAGCTACCAAAATATCTTACATTAAAAGCAAAAATATATCAAACGGATCGGATAAGATAGGAGCAAATATTATAAATCTAAATACTTAATACTATGTACAATGTACATGGTACTTAGCACGTGGGTCTTTATCTATTGTTATTATCTATTGATTAGTAGATACGTACAAAATAGTTTTGTTTCGGTTTGCGTACATAGATAGGTAAAATAAAGATTCTTTCAATTTCACGTTATCAATTTATGGCAACATTTTCCTGTTTTACCACGTGTGATTGGTAGAAAGGGCGGGGGCTTAGAAAACCTAAGCCCCTCACATATTGTAAGATTTTTTAAAAATAGTACATTTTTATATTGTGATTTACTGAGCTTTGAATTCGCCAGTTTAATTTAGACCAAAGCCAAAATAAAAATATATTCCGCGATGACAACAATAGCGTTTGAAAATAATAGCATCTTAATCAAGATCGGCATATTTTTCTGCCTATGTACCTAACATTGTTTGCTAAAGTACCTATATAATGTTAGGTACATGAATGACTTATCTCAATCAGCATGATGGAGATAAGTCAATCATCTGCATACTTTATTAAGTTGAGTAGGATGCTAACCGATAACGGCTATAAAGATATAATTTCTGATAGTGTTTGTTGTACGGATATCCTGAATTTAATCCTCAGTTTGGAATTTAAGATGGCGTCACTTCTTTTTTAAGGAAAATACCACGATGTTGTGACAACGGCTAGGTCTTTTATCTAAACCTGGATGAACACTTTACAAATATCATGAAGTGCCTACCATCTACTTTCTAAAATATACGTAATTAGAATAATATTATTTTATTAAGTTAGAATTAAAAGTACCCTTAACCGACGAGAACCCGTGAAAAATCGGATGGTGAAGATGACTGTTGCTGAAGCGAAAGAGGTGTGAAAGAATCGTAGCAATTGGCTTCTTTGTCTACCCCCATGAGAGACAGGTCTAAAGTAATGTGTATATGTAAGTTATATCCATTGTCAGATCTTTTGGGCTTTTGACTAAGTACTCTAAGTAGCCATAATGTTTGGCATAGCTGTTAGTCAAGTCTAGAGTTTAATCGATTAAGTAAGTAATAATAAAATATGTGGCCAAGCCAAAGTTTTTGGCAATTTTTAATCTTGATGGCCCTTCCAACCAATAAGAAACCTTGTAGTAGAGCCATTTTAATAAACGTATGCATTTAGTCATTTATTTTATGTATTATATGCATACATTAATGTTATTTCTCATACGACAATGACCATGCAAATAAATCTATGAAGCGATCAAGAAACATTTGTAATGATAGACCGAAGAATAATTCCTTTTCATTACGGAAATTATAGATTGTGTCTTTGATCGCGAATCGCTGAGCTTAATAGGCATTGCGAATATCGATTACCCACTAACTACTACATGGAAAAGCTTTTATAGGCGTTTCAGTGCAAAAGTATGTTACCGATAGTTTTATTAATGTTTGGTAACACAACAAAACCAAAACGGGTTATAGAGGTACACGTATAAAAACTATATCACTATAGTATGATCTTGATCACTATTTCATCAGTTATATGAGTTCCATGCACAGAAAATATAAAGAAGATAGAGAAAAACCTAGGTCATTCCAACCAGGGAAACAAACCGAAGTAATGATAGACATAACCCAAAAAGATTTTCGATCTTAATGACTAATACGTTTTTTTTAGGTGGAAAAATCTTCGAAATACTCCTCCCGCCTGGGTGAGGTTCGAGGGAGTGTCAGATTCTTACTGATTAAAAACCACCCCGTTCCTTCTCCTGCACGTCGAGCCGGAGCCCCAGTAACCCGTTAGATTCTCCGCGACCCGTTAGGTTCTCCGCGACGACTGTAACCATTAAGGTCAAAAATCTATTAACATTGATACATAGGCAGTACCTATAGGGTACCTTGATGTGCTGGAGTACCTCTCTAGATCTAAGAAACTACGTTTTAAAATCGGGTAATTCCTACAAAGCTAATCTAATATTGATATAAGTAAATTAACATGGGCCGATATTGATTAATTATTATCTGATAAGCCTTGTAATTTTAACATTAAATCGTGAATAAAATAATAACAACACAACACATGATTATCGCCATAAACCTCTGGTTACCTATCAATCGGACTGATATTTTTTAGAATTTCATCAACAGAACGATAGAACCCTCATTCAACATCATTTATTCTTCAGATCAGGATATTAAGGGCGACCAGAACCAGACCCGAGCGTACGGCGCGTCACGTTCCGCGTGCGCCTCAAAGAGCCATCAGACTACCACGGATGGGGACCAATAGGGCTAGAACTTAACATGTTGTCGGGGCTCCGGCTGGAAGTGCAGGAGAAGGAACGGGGTGGTTTTTAGTCAGTAAGAGTCTGACACTCCTTCCCGCCTCACCCAGGCGGGAGCAGTCATTCGATGATTTTCCCCTCTTAACAAAAAAGGGTACATAAGGTACTTTCACCACTATTAATTATGAAGTACGCACGACCTTCGCTATGTCATCTGCACAGTCTAGTTGAGACAGTGAATAAGTTTAAGCAAAAATAAGTTTTACCTATAATGCCGATAGCTAAAACGCAAATGAACCAACCCGGTAAAACATACAAGCCTTATTAGCCCTTTATAAACACTATAATTTAAATAATGTCATTTCATAACAAGAGAAGAAGGAAAGGTGCAAATTGTCCCACGTTTTTTCCTCGACCTAAATTATAAATTATTCAGAAAACACTACTCTGAACCGTAACATCTAATTTAGACTGGAAACCCTTCATTTTATGGGCGAATAAATTATTGTGGAAAAATGTCAACTGTTTGAATTGAAAAATGTTGCAGCCTTTTTTCATATAGCTAACAATGTTAAGCCTTTTATTTATTTTGAAGAAAATGGCAAGGCCTTTAAACATTGTTACTTTCTGATTGTCATTTTCTGATTTACTTTGTGAAAGTCATGTGGTGGCAGCAGAATGTATTAGGAACAATTTTGGTTTCTACTTCCCTGCATTTTTCAAAATAGAAAACCTAAAAATGAGTTAACCTAAGCTAAGCCTAACTTTGTTTAGCAATATAGTCTTCCTGCCACGATTCCATAGTCGGTAGAAACAAAGTAGAAACAATATAGATACCTAAAGGACAATAATGTTTTGCACCAATCATAACTTCGTTTTTTTATGGCATAAGCCGGTAAACGAGCACACGGATCACCTGATGGTAAGCAATCGGCGTCGCCCATGGACACCTGGAACACCAGAGGCGTTACAAGTACGTTACCGGCCTTTTGGGGATTATGAATTTGAGGATCGTTGGAGATTCAGGAATTGGGGAGATTGGGGAAGGGGAGGGTAATTGCGTCTTGATAGAAATATCAAAGTACTCACCAATCACAACGGAGATGATGGTAACTATCAAGAAGTAGAAGTTGACAACTCTCCGAAACTGTTCCGATAGATTCTTTGGCAGGAACCAGAGGAGCGTGTACTTGGACGTCTTGATCTTGTTGTGTTTCTTCTTCTCGCCTTCGATAGGGGAGCCGACGTCGATCTGTCGCGTCTGCGCCGTTGCTGACACTTTGTTGCCCTGGGTCAAATAAAAAAAAACTTTTAGTACAGCTGCAAGAATCTTCAATAACACGCCGTATTTGAAGATGCACAGCAGAGGACAGAACATCAATACACACTGATTATCATTATATTTCTATCAACTGTTCTGGTAACGATACCTATTTTTTTTATTGGTTTGTGGACAAAAGAATGTTTCAGTATCTTCAATAACACGCCTTAGTTAGAGATGCACAGCAGGACATAGGAGGATAAAACGTCAAAAACTGATCATCAATATAATATATTTGTACCAAATTTTCTGGTAACGACACCTATTGTTTTTTTTTTTGTGGTTAGTGGAGAAACGAGCGTATCAGAAATGGTAAGTTAGTTATTAACAGCGCCCATGGAGACGGTAACGTATGGTCGTGGTTTATAAAATAGAGCGTAAAATTATTTGAAATGGCACATAATATGCTATCCAGCCAGTTTTTTGAAACTATAAAGCCAATGGTTGAATAGGAAGCATTTTTTTTAATACCTTGCCCCACACTAGGATTTTCTCCTGTGTCGTGGGTGCGTTTACAAACATACAAGTTCACATACACATGACACCCAGACCCGGAACAACAATCTGTGGATCACACAAAGAGTTGTTCCGTGCGGGTATCGAACCTGCGACACGTTGCGCGCTAGTCAGTTGCCCAAGCACCGCACCAACCGTGCAGTCAATTTGTGCAGTATTTAAAATCAAGTTAACGCTTGTGAAGCAGAAAAGCTTAGCAGTGGAGTGGACAAGACTGGGGGGGGACTGATATGAAATTATGAAGTGCAGAAAATTGCCAGCATTGGTTGTGATTACACTGCTAATGTATTTACATACACGTTGTAAACGGAACGCTCGGTCAAAAACAAGTTGTCTTTCCAAAGGTTTTTATTAAGGGGAGAAAATCATCGCATCTCTGCTCCCGCCTGGGTGAGGTGGGAGGGAGTGTCAAGACTCTTACTGACTAAAAACCACCCCGTTCCTTCTCCTGCACGTCGAGCCGGAGCCCCGGTTACCCGTTAGGTTCTACGCGACATTTTCAAAGGTTAGGAATTATGTTTCTTTTATGTTATAATAGCTGCAAATAACTGCTCAGGGCTAATTTTGCATGAATACCACGAAAACAAAAACTATTAAAAATGTTAAAACTTTTTGAATAACATAATAAGCATTTTGATATCTAAACTTTATGATATGACATCATGACATTGAACATGTGATTAAGAAAACACAAGAAAGTTAGAAATGTGTGAGGTGAGGACAAGACATTGATATCGAAAACATTCTTCGTATGAACTATGAACTAACAACTTTGAAAACTTATGGATAAAACAATTTATTTTCCAAGTTATCAACCTAAAGATAACTATAATTAAATAAGATTATAGTACACAATCACAAAATCGAAACACTAAGTCAAAGTATTTTTTTAAATTATAAAACTTACTTTCATTGAACCGTTTCTAGATTTTCCTATCAATAAGAACTACTTTGAAAAGCCGAACTTACAACTTCAATAAAGTATCTATTTAACAACAAGTGTTGTGTCTCTAGACGTCTAGAACAACAAATACCCAACTATCCTACCCGAGTAACTTTACAACTATTATCAATTTTCCCTTCATATTCCTCGAAGCTATGACAACCTGATACTTTACTTAAGTTGTCAAAGAAAAAAAACACCTTCACCATGTTTAAATATGCATAATGCCATCACCACCGTGGGACATTACGCAAAATGAAGTGTGAATCCAAGGTCTCCATTTTTTTCTACGACAGAATAATCGATACAATCATAAATGTGAACTCTGTGTCTATAATTTTGTCTTTTGTTTATTTAAGAACTACATGGTCAATCCCAATGTTTGTAATGTAATGATACGAGGTTTATATTATCATGAAAGAGACTTCTTAACACATGATCGAAACTAGCCCCAACTGATTGCTCAAAAGTTTTCATTTTTAAAATTGCCAAATTACGCACAAATTCTATAAGAATTGTGAAACTTGTACTACATTTGTTGTGAATTTGTAGAGCTATTATCATGACCCTAATGATCTAGAAGGCCACCACAGATTGGACCCACTAGGATCGATGCCCCACCGGGATTGCGAACAACAGCGAGGGTTACGGGGCTCTGGTTTCAAGTAGGAGTTGGAACGAAGTAATTTTTATTCAGTAAGAGTCAGATACTCGGCAGGGTGGAAAACCCATGCCAAGTGTGAAAGAGCCATGTGTCGGCAGGAATGGGCCGGCTCGACCGGAGCAATACCACGGCCTCACAGAAGACCGATGTGAAACACCGTGCGTTGCGTTGTGTTTCGTCATGAGAGTGAGGTTACCGGAGGCCTAACTACCCCTCTCCTCCTTTCCCAATCCCTGAATCCCCAACAATCAAATTCCTGATCCCAAAAGGCCAGTAACGCTAACTTGTAACGCCTCTGGTGTTCTTTTCTTCTTTCTTTGTTCTTCTAAGTCTACCAGGTGCACAGAATTAAAGCCACGAACATTACGTTGTGTATTTATGTAACTGCAAGCCGGTGCAACATGTTTTTAAACATCATATTTAGGGCACTGAACAATCGAAATGTCGTTATCACATCAACAGCATTAAGATAACTCAAGTGTTTGATAGCAGTGTAAAAAGCCAAGTTCAACACAATTGGGTAAGTATTTTATTGGTTAGACGAGAAAATCTGATACTAAGATATACTAGCTATATCTAGCTTCTATCAAAATACAGATCATGTGAATATTTTAATCTTAACTTATCTAAATCTTTTTTCATAAACTTTCGTTTTGCACGTGCACCTTCAAAGCCACTGAGATGTCTCAGTGGCTTTGAAGGTGCACGGTGCACGGTGCACGGATAAGGCTTTTATTTTTATTAGCGATAAAAAATGTTCTATATTTTCAATTACTGTTAAACTGTCAAATACCAAGCGGTCACCGGTGACCGCAACCTATTGTTCTATAATTGTGTCTGCGAAACCGGTACTCGACGAGTTAATATGTATTTTCGAAGTTGTTTGAGTAGACCTGGACGGTCAAAAATAATGATGACTAATTGAATAATATTATAGGGATTTACTCTAGAACCTGTTCGAAAAATGAACTCATAATACATTTGAGACACGTAGGTATCATATTTAGCAGGGTACATGCTTAATGGGCATGGAAAACAAAACACTTGAGCATGTCATTATTAATCAACTAATTTTTGGGTGCTATGCAGCACTAAATTAAATAATTATTAGATACTATTTTGCTCTTGACTTAGAAGTAGAAATTAACAAATAGTTTTAGAAAAAAAATTACATCAGCATTTATTTTAAAATAAATATTATTACGCTTAATAGACTCCGCATTAACTTTCCGCGAACATTTAAAAGTGCATAAAAGTAAAAAAAATACAAAAAAAAAACTAACAACATTCAAAAATAGAACACTAATTTACCTTCATTTGATTATCGAATTTTAGGCGAGTAACAACGAAAGAAACTTTTTAAATGGCCGGCTCTAGGTGGGCGCAACATACCGGCCAGTGTTGACGTGCCATTGGACGGGCATCCAATGTCAGGACCGGCCGCTACCAACTGCTGCAGCTAATCGTGAGAAGTCTAGCATCTGACAGCAAATTAGCGCTTCCCTCACCTCACCATTAGTTAAAGATTACCCGACGATACTTTAAACATGTTACTTTAAGAATTGTAATAATTGTCTAGACCTTTAGACTAAAAGGATTCTTGTTAATATTTAATTCATAGGCAAAGTGTAGGTATAATTTAAATGAGTCCCAATACGGTAAGTATTGTAACTCTTTTAACTTTTCGTGTGTCTAAGACGTGGAACCACGCGAGGCCCAATGTATTTTCTATTGTCTTATATCGGTGCATTCAAGAGGTAAATTAGGAAAATAGTGTGGATCATACATACGCTAAAAGATGTTATAATTACTCCCGATATTGCTGACTAAAGTTCTCCTAAATGACAGAGATCTCTTAGCGTTACGTAGTTCAGATCAATAAAAAACCGATTAATTAATCTGTGAAAATACACATGGATAATAATTATTATCCATGTGTATTTATATTAATTATAATTAAATCATCACCAATTGAAATTGAAATGAAACATATTCTTACGCCTAAGCGTGGATAAAGACACTAAAAAGTGTAAAAATATTAATGACTTCACGGCATACAATATTGGCAATCTGATGAGCAATCAATGCCATTGAGTGCCTCCGATGCATGTAATTATTTGTAAATTAGTACTGTGACAATATTTGTCCACTGACCACAGCATTTGATGAACACTACGAGTCGCCTTTTATACTAACCGAAAAAAAAAATAACATTAATTTTGCTATAGCTTACAAAACCTAAACATAACACAATCACATTTTCTTTTCGTTCATTACAAAAATGAATTTTGTCTATTAAAATGTGTATCAAAACGTAACTCTGTTTATTTCCTTTCCTTACAAATTATCATTAAAATCGATTCAGCAGTTTAGACAGTATATTACTACAAACAGACAAACAGTTTCGTTCTCCCTCCATATTGCGGAAGGATCAATAAATGCCCAGACATAACTGCATAGCAATTTCGCTATTTCATGGTGAGCTTTCATACTGGCTGAACGTGGAAAATTAAATTGTGACGTCATATGAATTTGCTATAATATGTATTCAATTAGGTATAGTCTATGATCAATTTGCTCGCTGAATCATTGTTCGGTATTTTGCAATTAGGTATAGCTATGGCTCGATCGATCGATGACAATTATTGTTGCGAACTTTATTAATTACCAATTGACCTGGTTAAAGGTTGACATGTAAAATTACAGTGCAAAATGTCTAAATTTATAATTAGTAGGTAAATTAAATATTCACCAGTCTTCGAAAATATTCTACTAAAAATACGGTTGCTCAGTCCTAGTATCACCTTCGACTTTTATCCCCTTTAGTGCTTCGAAATTCTAAACTCTCTAAAACTAGATAAAACCATAAAAGACACCTAATTGACTATTTGCATTACACACTTTCCCTCTGTACTTACTTATTTACCTACGTGTAATATTGTCTATGCAGTTTTCCGCTTTGTATATTTTATATGGATAGTTGACGTATTGATTGCAATTTCTGGGAACTTACCCTTGAACGGACAGGTTGTTAGGCGGCTGATAGTTAAACGATGACACACTGTCACTAGTTACCTATAGGTAGGTACGACACGATAAAACATCCTAATCCTCGATGTTCTAGCTACAGAAATTAAAACATACATAATATAATATAATATACATGAGCCATGCTTCGGCCTGAAGGAACCGGCTTAACCGGTGTGAAACAACGGTTGTGTTGTGTTTCGTCATGTAAGTGAAATCGGAAGCCCAATTCCCCCCAAACCCCGTATCCCCAATAATCCTCAAATTCCTAATCCCAAAAGCGCAACGTAATTGTAACGCCTCTGGTGTTTCGGGTGTCCACAGGCGGCGCCGATTGTCTACCATCAAGGCTATATAACCTTGATAGGTACCTAACTGAATTTTAATGAATAACAAAATGACGAGCAAGTAAAGATATTGAGATTGTGATTAAATATTAATTAATGTAGTAGGTATGTAATTAATTAATCATTATTACATGATAAACTTTTGCATAAAACTATTATAGACCTAGACTGCAAGGGGTCTCGGTATCGATTTATCTATAGGGGCAGAAAAACAATCGTTGAGATTTTTGGCAGTCGAAAAAAACACAATTTATGCAATAGATATGGAGATTTATTGTGGTGAATGCCACTTGTCATTATCATACATATTAGCCGCAAGACGCCTACTGTTGATATAGGCCTCGGGCCTCCCTCAAGGACTTCCAAATCCCTGGTTACCTGCATCCCGTGGTTCTTGATGACCTTTATGGTCGTCAAACCGTGAATCTATTAAATTAAGTATTTTTATTGTGAATTTTGTCAAGTTATATATAGCACATTATGTTTTCTTACTTAATGTGGAAGACAATACAAAATTACCCTAAGTACAGATTCTAAATTCTCTTGTTACTACTCCATTTTTTTAGATGGGTACTCACTTTTGCACAGCGTTCACACGCTGTTGCTAACTACCTAAGCGTTACCTGTTTATTGAGAATTGAAGGGAACTCCCAAGATCAATAATGATATGATGTCAGATATGATATGAGTTACGTAGCACCTACCTATCTATTCATGATTTAATAAAGTAAATATCTACAAATCATCAACAAAAGTTATGAATCGAATAAAAATACTTAAGTAACATTATGAATATAGGCCCTAGGAGAATAATCAAGAAGGGCAGTTAAGGCTAAGATAGAAATCTATCTAGGTATTTTTTATTTATTTTATTTGTCCCAGGCATCTTGGCCCAGAAATGGCTACCTACTATGAAAACATTTCGATATAAGGGAGAATGGGACGGGAGACCCAACAAATAAAATACCTGCAATCCTCTGAAGGTGGTAAATACGGTACCTTGAGTACAAGTTTATTTTACGTTAATAAAACGAGACTGCTTTCGGCGTTCTAATTGGTCGGTTCATCGGAGCCGGCCAATCAGAGCCCCGAACGCGGTATCGTTTCGATTTCGTTAATCGTCGAAAATAATTTTATTTCAGAATTTCGAGGAATAGGTAATTTTTAAAAATAGGTAATTGCATAATATTAAGAATGCACATGAAAAATAATATGAATGACAACTCAAATGTTTATCAATAGGGACGTAACAATAAGCCAGTAACGTAATTACTGCAATAAACCAACGTTCTGACTGTGTGAGATAAGATACATACATTTTTATGTATCTATATGTTGTTTACAAGTACATGAGCTATATTTAACACAGACTACATTCCAAAATATATTATTTTGTACTTCAAACGAATGCGTTTGACCTTTTGATTTGAATGAGGTTATTGAGGAAGGGTTTTTTTATGAAAGGGGAAGCCTTCACAAGGGTCTTAGATTTTTGGGTATAAAACCCTTAGCACCTGTAAGATAGGCCTATGTTCAGCAGAGGGTGTGTTATAAATATAATAGTGATGTTAATCACTACATAGTATAAAACAGAGTCGCTATCCGCCGTCTGTCTGTTCCTATGTATGCTTAGATCTCTAAAACTAAGCAAAGGATTTTGAAGCGGTTTTTTAATAGATAGAGTGATTCTTAAGGAAGGTTTATATGTATAATACATGCATATTGCACCCGTGCGAAGCCGGGACGGGTCGCCAGTTGATGATAATTTTTATTTCATCATTTAGTAAGATTTATTTTATGGGATAAAGATCTAAGGAGACAGATGAAATGATGGACTGATGTCTATAGATTGCACTGGTCGGTTACCATCAGGTGATTCGTCTGCTGATCGGATGTCCGTGGATAACACCACAAAAGCTACAAGTACGTTGCCGGTGTTTTTGGAGTATAGTTAAGTAGACTCAGTTATCTACTAAGTTGGTTTTAAATACTTCAAAATGCTTTTTTAGGATTGGAAAAGATTTTTATATAAAAACTAACTGCCCTGGCAAACTTCGTGCCGCCTAAAAGTTTTTTCTCACCTTTTAAACCTTCCCTAGGCTTCCACGAACCTATCAAGACCAAAATTAGCCAAATCAGTTCAGCCGTTCTCGAGTTTTAGCGAGACTAACGAACAGAAATTCATTTTTATTTATATAGATTTAAATAATTATGTTTTCAATATGACACAAAGTTATAATTCATTGTTATTTCGTACTAAATGAATGGGGAAAGGTAAATCAATGCCTATCATATAAAATAAATATCAAGTTACTACTTCTAGAATCAAAATTTATAACATACAGTAGAGTTCCCGAACTCCACTAAGAATATAAACACTAGTGAACCCACTACACTCAAAATTAAAAATTGAAATTGCCCCAGAAAAATAAATCCAACTCCTATGTATAATATCAAGGTAGTTGCTATGCTATCGATAACTTCACAAAACGGACTTATTTTGAACACAACATTAGGCCTATTATGTCCCGAAGGGTTAGGAAGAGACACTAGACGGAATTAATCTAAAATCTGCTTTTCACCACTTAAAAGTCTAGTATATTTAAAAAAAATACTCACATCGTAAAAAAAGGACCAAAAATAAGCCACCCACGATAACAAATACAAATACACTCTATGAATCAAATTGAAAATATATCCAACACACTGTCTCATTTTAAACACATGTATCACATTTTAGCAACAAACATTCATTTATTAACCGACTTTAATGAAAGGAGGTTGTGTTATTTAACTATTTATGTACAACACATACATGACCACTCGACTGAAACACAAATATAACAATGAATACACGGCTAAGTTGATAGCGAGTGCTATCTAATCTTCCAATACGATATCAATAAAAGTTTGACGACATGTCGATGTGACGTGGGCCCTAGACCTTCGTTGTTTTAGTTTAATTTTCGTCGGCCATGTTATCGGCCGTTCCCAAATATTAAAAAAAAAAAATTAGTTGGGCAAACAACATGTCATATAATTATGAGGAATGAGAATGATTTATAAACTTAGGAGTCATGGAGTTAATTATAAAAGGTTTTTTTTTTAATGGGACAAGCCCGCCACAACCTCCCAAAACCGCTGCAACTCCTGTAAGCCAGGATCTATAGTAGATACAACCATAAAAACACCGGAATCCTGAAGTCCGGCGCGTCTGAAGTCAGGGACATGAATAACTGTCTTAGTTCCCGCAACGAAGTGAATCAGAAGATATTATAAGAGAAGAAAAAAAAGATAAAAACGATAGTTTCCACTTCCCTCGGTGAATTACTACAGGAGACAGAATGAATTAAGCCTAAAGGCACAAAAAAGAGACTGTACAACTGGGTGAAGCCCAGTCGCCAAGCACCACGGAAAATTGACTAAAAACTAAAAGGGTCCTATGTGTGAGCTGTTATACCTGCTGCCAATAATAGGTATAATCCAATATAAGTATTAGAAAAGGTTGTAAAATAATAATGAATGAATCAATTGATGTTGCATGCACGTGGCGTGGTATTGTTTAAAGTTTTATTAGGTAACTATGTTATTCTCTAGGGACAAACAGAAGCCGCGGAGATCTTAAAAGGTTACCGGGACTCCGGTTTGAAGTGCAGGATAAGGAACGGGGTGGTTTTTAGTCAGTAAGAGTCTGACACTCCCTCCCGCTTCACACGACACGCAGGGCAGGACACGTCAACCGATTATTTCCCCCCTTAAAAAAAGGGATAAACAGATTTTTTATTTTAACACATCCCCTTTTCGCCAGTCATTGATCCTCGTGTTAGAAGAAAAAAGAGAAATTCCTCTCACTGAAATACAAACAATTAATAATGTTTTACTTACTTGACTTAATATCCTGTGTCCCTTAGATGGGGCAGATGGCGTCCACAGAAGGTCTCTATCACAACCGGTCTTGAGCTTCACGCTTCACCAACATCACCGCTTCGGCCACCATAGTGAGGTTTTCTTTTCTCCTAAGATTCCAGTCCTGGCTTGCTTAGGTATCTGGTCGTCCCTTTGGAGCGTGCGTCCCTACTGGCGGTGCTTGATCTGGTGAACGATCGGAAGACAAATAATAATAGTGTTCAACAATATCTGTTACGGCGACTAATCGAACATGATATATTGCACACCATTACAATAGCCGAGCAAAGTACTGCTAGCTGCTACATTCATGCAGTTTAATTTTATGCCGTATTTCGTGAATCTTTTTAACTGCGACCTTTATCTCACTTCCCAAGAGATCATAGTACACCTGGTAAGGCTGTATTGTCTATTAGTCTTAAGAACCAGATCCACGCGCGCTTCATAGAGCTATCAGACCACCACAGTTGGGGCCCAGTAGGGCTGATGCCCAAACCGGAGCCGCGGAAGTCCTTACGCGGAAGACTCGAAGAGTATTCCCCATTCTAATTTGAAATTTGAAGCTGGAGATTTTTTTTCTAATTAAGAAGTTATGGAGATTTTAGTACATTTTATTTATTTATTAGAATTGAATTGAATAGAATAGCTAGAAAACCTGGCATTTAAAAGAATAAATTTAATATGTTTTTATTAAATATAACTTATGTAACCCATATAAGGTCCATTTTCAATTACCTATACGATTTTTATATGGTTTACATTAACTTGTCGAGTACCGGTTTTGTAGACACAATTATAGAACAATATGTTGCGGTCACCGGTGACCGCTTGGTGTTTGACAGTTTAATTAATAAAATAAAAGCTTACCCATAACTGATATATTTACTAAACTATTATTCTTGATTAACTCGTTGAGTACAGTCCTTATAGACACAATTATCGAACAATAGGTTGCGGTCACGGGTGACCGCTTGGTGTTTGACAGTTTAAACAATAATAACTTATATTTAAGATCTGATAATCTGAAAACACAAGATACATAGTTATTACTGCAACTCAAAAATTAATTTTAAAAAAAATTATAAGTTAAACAACAATGCAGTATTTAAAAAAAAATATGGTGAAGCTTTTACCTTAATCTAAAAAACTTTTAAAATTTGGTCAACACCACAATCATGATTCCATACAAATTATATTGCAACTATATAATGTCAGTAGTTTTCTATTAAAATAAAATATTCTATTCAGTTCATCATAGTCCATATTCCAAAGGCAAATTCAGCCTAATCAAAGGAGTTATAAGACCCAGGAAGGTCACAATAATATTCTTAGTTTTGTTTTTAAAAGCGGCCAGTAATGTTTCAGTGTGGCAAGGATGCATTATGAAGTAGGGCTTTTGGAATATAGGGTGTTCTTGTTGTGTTATTACTGAGTAGAAGTCCTTTTCATTTATCCTGGAAAGAGAGTAAAAATTTTGAATTAAGTTATGTGAGTAATCAAAAAAGTACCTATTTTCCTTTTTTATAATCAATAAGTATTAAAAAGGAGAATCAGTTGGTATTGTTACATATGCATCATAATTTATTCTAAACTAGCTGACCCGGCAAACTTCATCTCGCCTCAATTTTTTTTTCTCACCTTTTAAACATTCCCTGGACTTCCACGAACATTTCAAGACCAAAATTAACCGAATCGGTTCAGCCGCAATTCATTTTTATTTATATAGATAGATAATAACATAATAAGTATCAAAACAACACACTCTATTGAGTGAAATCATTGTGAACAATAATTCAATCTATTGTTATAATTTACGATAAAGGAACTGGGCAGTAATCGTCTAAATTAGTTTTATCTTTATAAATAAACAAGTTATTTTTAAGTTTTTTAAGTAGTATAAGAAAATAAATTGTATTTCGTAATACTTACTGTATAAAGGACATTTTTCTAATATCATCCAAAGTAACCAATGTACCAGTAGAGTTCCAGGCGTTAAAACTGAATGAAGGCACTCCATAACTCAAGTTGTAAAATATCACATATTCCACTTTCAATAAATGGTTCATATTTTCATCCTGACATTGAACAAATGCATCTTTTCTTAAGTAAGTCTTAAGATTATCTGTTTTATCCTCCTTCAGTGTCCAACCATCGCCTATTTTCTCAGATTTTTGGACAAATTGTTTAGCAGAGTCGAGAAACTCATGAAACGTGATCGTTGTGATACTCATAGTTTATTGCACCAATAAGTAATTTTTAGATAATATAAAGTATTGTATGTGTGTAGCATATATTACAAAGAAAAATAAGCTCACTGAAACTGGTGTTGACGATAAATATCAGCAAAAATCTCTCAAGTTTCAGAAGCTGTCGTTATTTCTTATTATTTCTTGACTAAACGTAGATATTTCTATATCTGATCTGATTCTGACCGGATTCTTTTCCGGTAATAATCGTTTCATAAATATACACGTAGATACTTTTTTTAACAATTAATTTAATTAATTTTCATAAAGTTTTCAGCAGTTATCAATTTCAAAACAATTCGGTTCAGTACCTAACTGGCTGTCACTGACACTGACATTGACATTTGTTTGTTATCTATATTTTGACATTATCAGCCTCAGATTAGTATTGCTAGCGCCTTTCTCCAATAAAATGAAAATGTTTATCCAACACAAGAAATATTTATTTATTTACTTATCTATCTATTACAAAATTATTATTCATTTCGAATGACGTTGAAGAACATTCGAACAGTTCGAGTAAGATAAATTAATGATCATTCGTTCGACTGTCGACATCATAACCAACTAAATGTCAATTTTATAACTGTCATTGTCATTGTCAGTTTTAACAATTGACATTCCTTTCTTTACGTCCATCCAGCACGTACGTAGTGATTTTGTTGTTTTATGTTTTCTTTTAACAAATTATGAATTGTAACCAAATCTTATCAGCAAAGTGATAAAGAATATTAAACAAACCATTTGGTGCTGCCTTGGACTTAGTCACATTTAGTTCCATTCAGTCACACTAATACCCTGAGCAATTCGTGTGTGGTGCGCGAGCGCAATAAATTAAGGATAATAATTATTATTATCTCTGTAAGTACTATATCAAGACGAAATAGTACAAAGTGTACCATTTACCATAATCTTCAACGCAAATAATTACAAATATTTTTTTACATTTTTTTCTTTTGGATTTTTGCTGTTATAAGTCGGGTATTTTTTTTTATTATTTCTAAGTACCTAACACAACACTAAGTGTTATTACCATAATAATAGCTATGTAGTCACGTAGAACATAAATGATTGGTTTTATTATGCATAGACATTAATGTGACTGTCAAATTGGTATTTAACCTTCAAGCGGGCGCGCGTAGTCGAATCGACCGCGGTTAATACATTTTCGTTCGTATTTTTATTTTTAGTTGCCACATGCATTTCTAATTTCTAGTAGCCTGTCACTATCTTTTTAGGAGTAAAATAAAAACTGTTCCGTTGCTTGAAGCGCTCTCTCCACTCCACAAATTACAATTGTTTAGGCTCTGGCGCAGTCGTTGAAAAGACTACACGCGCCTGTCGTCGAATAGGTTACACGCGACGCTCAACGCGACATACACATGTCAATATTATCTAATTCAGCTTGGAGTTTTGGTGTTTTAAAGCGTTTTTTGTTTAAATAAGTAAGTCGTTTATGGTTATCGCTAAGTGCAGTAATCGAGGAATTACAAAGAGAAGACGAAGAAGAGAGTGAATCAGAGCTTAGCAACCAAGGCTCTGAAACTTCTCATCACATAGTTTTAGAAGAACATCTATCTGATGTGATATCATCCTTGTCGGATTTAGATGAGAATAATTTGTAGCTTACGGAAATAAATAGCTGTTTTACAGGACGCGATAAAGTTACTAAGTAGCAAAATCTGAAAAATTACTAGAATACTGACTCAGACGAAAATAAAATCAAAATTAATGAGTTTTTATCCTTACTTTTTATTTATTTTATGGTCTACGTATATAAACCAACCTAACATATGTAAACGGGTCTTAATTTTTATTTTGATCCGAAGAATATTTGAGATACTTTAGGTGACTTAATAATTGCTTCTTTTTCATAATTTTAATTACTTGTTCTGACAAATTTCTCTTTAAAGATAATGATATTGTATCTTAGTACAAATTAATAAATGATTATCCCATAGTTATTGCTTTCTTGGTCTTATTCATCCCATAGGTCTATTCGGTTACGCGCGCCCGCTCCCGTTACAAAAGACCGCGCGCCCGCTTGAAGGTTAACTATTTAATAATGTGTATTTAAAAACAAGTTTTTCTGTTTGATGTTTAACTCCATTAATTTATTAGTCGTTAAACTTAAACTTGGTAGTATAAATAAGTATTATAGGTGTATTTTTTGGGTATATTTAATGTAATTGTGATAGTAACTACAGTAAGGAGTCTTGTATTAAATAAAACCGTTTTCTTTTCAAAAGTTGAATTTAAAAAAATATTGTTGTATACATAATTTTTTTATATATTTTTTTTTTATTTTGTTTCAGACCCCAACTAAAAATGGATACCCTAAAAAAGAATTGGTTCACTGAAGATTGTGAGATGTGGCCTGGTGGTACATTCTCCATTGAAGTTAAAGAAGTTTTGTATTCAGAGCCATCTGCTTACCAAAAAATAAATGTGTATGATACTACTAAATTTGGTAAAGTGTTGGTACTAGATGGCATTATTCAATGCACAGAGAAGGACGAATTTGCTTACCAGGTGTGTATCTCTATGGTTTATTAAAAAAAAACTTTAAACTGTCAAACACCAAGCGGTCCCCGGTGACCGCAACCTATTGTTCTATAATTGTGTCTGCAAAACCGGTACTCGACGAGTTAACAGAATGAATGCCAGAATACTGAAACACCATCCAATTTTAATTGTTTTGTCACTACAAATTCTTTTGTCAGATGACAGAGAGGGCACTATATTTAACCCATATATCCCCAAGCAATCACCGGTGACCGCTCTCCACTAACTACATTATAGATCTTATTCCCAATGTTTAGAGACTACTTTTGTATGAACTTTCGGGGATAGTTTTCAATGGGTTAAGTAAAACTTAAAATTCTACTCAATTTTAAGTATTTAGGTGGTTATTCATACAATAAGTTTATAGTTTTTTAAACATGACCTGTACCTATTTTTTTGTTCAGTTCCTACCCCATATTTATTCTTATTATTTAAGCTTATTGCTATGGAATAATTCATTGAACAAAAAAAAACTTTTTACTTATTTTATAGGAGATGATATCATTCCTACCTCTGTGCCTGCACAAGAATCCGGAGAAGGTGCTGATTGTGGGTGGAGGTGATGGAGGTGTCGCCCGAGAAGTTGCCAAACACCCCAAAGTGAAAGAAATTATTCAGGTATATCGTTATCTTTCATTTAATGTATTGCTAAAAGTTTTACTGGTCTTCAAAGGTCAGAACCATTCAAAAATCGTAAAAACCACAAACTAACCACCCAAAAAACCAAATTGTCAAATCCTCAAATTTTATATTCCCATTCTGTTACATATATTCATCATAAGATCCCAGACCCGAAAATTGTACATTTTAGAATCTATTCCAAAATTCTAATCAATCTTTTGTAACGAAACAGCATACTAACTTAAAATAGCTAAACATTAACTAAGATGGTCTGTCAATACCCCACTAAAAATGATAATGTACCACATTGTAACCTTTTATCAGGGGACGACAGTACGTAATTACTTTAAGCTGATAACACTTATCTGACCCAACCAACAGGAAGGGTAACTTGTTCGTATTATTAACTGGATAATGTCGTTTTTTACCTTATTTAGGTACTGTACATTTGTATAAATACAATTAATCAACCTGTACAATACACTACTGTTTGGAGTTTACATTTACTTTTAATACTTTTTAAATATGTTATAATGTGGGGACATTAGGATTTTGTCCTCTGTGGTGGGTGTTTTTGCAAATATATAAGTTCACGTACACATGAAACCCAGACTCGAAACAACTATTTTTTGGATCACATAGAGTTGCTCCGTCTGAGGGAATCAAACCCGCTACGCGTTGCGCGGCAGCCGTTTGCCCAACCAGCCACCGCGCCAATCGTGCAGTCGAACTTATTTAACGAAACCGTAAATAAGCTTCTGATATTAAAAACATGATCTACAATTCCAGGTGGAAATCGACGAGAAAGTCATCGAAGTTTCAAAAAAATACCTACCGTTTATGGCGGTGGGTTTTGACAGTCCAAAGCTAAAACTTCACGTCTGTGACGGATTTGAATTTATGGCAAATCATAAACACGAGTTCGATGTTATAATCACAGACAGTAGCGACCCCGTGGGGCCAGCCGTAAATTTGTTCAGAGAAAACTATTTTATACTCTTGAAAGGTGCGCTGAAACCAAACGGGATAATTTGCTCCCAGGCTGGAACCGTCTGGAACGATCTAGACCTTGTCTCCAATATTCTACAAATATGCAAAAACCAGTTTGCTAAAGCCGCTTACGCCTACGCTTCAGTCCCCACATACCCCTCAGGACAAATTGGTTTCGTAATCGGATCTTTAGACAAAGAAGTCGTTTTTGATAAACCCGAACATGTTTTTACTGAAGAAGATGAAAAGGAGATGAAGTTAAGGTACTACAGCAGTGATATTCATAAAGCTGCCTTCGTGCTACCAACCTTTGTGAAACAACACTTAGCTAGAAATGTTACTGAGTAACTTGTACTTAAATGTGCATTTATTTTAGAATGTAAGCGTCTTCACTATGAGACATATCGAATCTATTATTGAATTTTATTATATTTATCAGGTTTATAATCCTCGGCTGTTATTTGTAACGATTTTAATATTTTTTATTGTACTGTTGTTTATCCAAAATTCATTATATTTTATTAACAAATGATATTATGAGATTGTTACTTAGACAGTAAAAGTCGCATTTATTTTAGGTATATTCTTGACTTTTAGTCATTTTTAAAAGTCATATCGCGGTCTTCCATTAAGTAATCTCAAATTCTATTTATTGAAATATTTAACGCATAATCCTTAAACCAGAGTGGCCTTAAATAAAATGTTTTAAATACTATGAGTGCATTCTGTGCATGCATGCATGTATTATATTAAGTAGTATATAAGTGTTATAATACTCTGGTTCATGTTACAGCAGTCATTATCTTTGGGTCCGTTCATAACATACATTCCTTATCAATTACTAAATTACTATTTATTAAATAATAATGAAGAAGATTATTTTTTAAGACAATCTATTCTTAATGACCTTTGTATCTATTCGTTAGAACGGAATGATTAAAAAAAACAGTTTTCTGAACTCTAGCAATAAAGCTAACATTATGCAACGCCATCTGTCGAGTTCTTTTTTCAAAATCATCCGAAATCAATAGAAACTGTTAGCAATATAGATAAAGTTACGCACACAAAGAAAGGAAAAATTATGCGTGTTTGTTTTGGGAAGAGGGATATGAAGCTGTTCGCTTCCAATCGTATAACGATATATCCGTTTATATTTATTATTGTTTTATTTAGTAAAATAGATAATCTAAGTATTTAAAATTGTCAAACACATTCCATCTGAGTGTTCCCAACTCATTTTACACTGCATCAACTTGCTCATCTAGGTAATTATGTGATAACGATAAATGAAATAAAGGAATCGTCATAAATATTTTTGTACAATTTTTTTGTATTTTTTTATAAATGTTAAAATAAATCAGGGACAATAAATGTATTTTTTAATAATTACTTTGTTTCATTCCGAACTCTTGCCTTTTTGCAGCAACCTATAGGTACTATAAATAGAAAACAACAATTCGCCTTTTATTATTAATAAATTAAAATATTGCGTACAATTACAACTATGATATCATCAACTCTGTTTAAATTTCTCAATCTTTTGGGGACAGAAGAAATATTTAGCTAATAAAGCAATAAAGAAAATTAAACTAAATAAAACTAAATATTCAATAGACATGAAGAATAAAAGTTCTGGTTTGTGCATAAGACGGCCAGGTGGGGACATGTTGAGATATCCATATTTAGCTGTGTTTTCTATGTAGTGTATGGCTGTCTCCATAGGCGGTAAGGGGCGTTCCCACCAACGACTGCTGAACGCTTTGGCGTGATCTCGCTTTCTGTAAAATTAAGGCAACATTAAGGTATGTTTTGAATTTGATTACGACTACCTACATTAGTCACGTTTTTGTAAGCGTGTAGCCACTCCTAGTAAAGTTCGTAAAAGTAAGTGGGGAATTTACATGTTTGTTTTAATGAAGCCAATGTTATTTTGTACACGACATGGCTCCAATGAAGTAAAGGGGATTTTTGTGCAATCACAGCAACTGCCAAATATCGAACATTCTATTGGACGACGAACGAAAGAGCGCGCTAGCGCCATCTAATGAGTAGGCCCCGTTCGAAAATTCAAGATAAGTAAGCAAGAGTACCTACTGATATGGAAGATAGTGTTATAATTTTAATATCACCGATATTCCTTTCAGGAAAGATTCAAAACAGAAATCGGTTCTTACCCTGTTCATGAAACTACGTTTAAAATGTATCTACATATTGATTCAGTTAATCATTTTTTTAAATCCGATAATAGTAGGTTCTATTATCGGATCGTCGTATCTTAATCAACTTTAATATCTTGCACTTACTCTGGCGTTAAAACCTTCATGAGGGCATTGTAAAATGTCTCCTCATCAATTTGATGGAACTCCAATACTTCTGCAATTCCAGCTCGTTTAGCGAATGCGGCGTTTCCAGGCTGATCGCCCAATATTGGTATAACCAGCGCCGGTACTCCTGCTGCAACGATCTCTGTCAAACTCAGGAGGCCACCGTGAGTTATGAAGGCCACACAGTTCGGGTGATCTAGTAATTGAGAAGATAGGTAATATTAGTAGGGAATTTGAAATTACCACTTTCTCGCTTCAGAACGATTTCGGTAGGACCAACGAAATACAGATTTTTAGGTGATGTTTTACCGTTGTGCATAACATTAGCTGATTTGTAAGTAGGGGCAAAAACTTCACGACCGCCCGGACCATCCCGACAGTTCAATCTGATCCAGATTTCCTGGGACCTAGACTCTAAATTCTAAATTACTACACAACATCACGCCTTTTTATCCCCGAAGGGGTTTTTTTAAGGGGGGAAAATCATCGAATGACTGCTCCCGCCTGGGTGAGGCGGTAGGGAGTGTCAGACTCTTACTGACTAAAAACCACCCCGTTCCTTCTCCTGCACGTCGAGCTGGAGCCCCGGTTACCCGTTAGGTTCTCCACGATATCCCCGAAGGGGTAGGCAGAGGTGCACATTGCGGCACTTAGTGCCACTTTGCAATGTAACACCGACTTTTCACTGTTTATGTTATGAGTACCATGTAATAAGGGGTGAGCCTATTGCCATATACCTGGCACATTTCCAGACTCCGTGCTACCACTGAGATTTTTTTAATAACCCAATAATACTTTGCCCGACCCGGGAATCGAATCCGAGACCGCTTGCACGGCAGTCGCACTTGCGACCACTCGACCAATGAGGCAGTCATTCTAAGTTACTATGTAGGTATTTAATGTTTTGCCCGCCTCTCTTGCTCAACTGAGTCACTCTATTAATTCATTGGATGAATAAATTGTAATTATCACCGTAAATCAAGATATATGCATGTCGAGCATAGTGCCGTGATATGATTAGAAATGTAGGTAGGAAGGTACAGTTAATGGTTCCACATGGCTTCCTCTTTAACAAACGACTATTGTTTTTAACGATATGCTTGATGTGAATTGTAACGGTTATGTGTATCTTGGTTAATTAATTAATTATCTTAGAAGCGTAACATAACATCACGCCTTTCCTCCCTGAAGGGGTAAGCAGAGGTGCACATAACGGCACTTCCACTATACAATGTACTTTTCACCATTAATGTTATAGCCCAATGTAATAGGGTGTCCTTATTGCTATACCTATACCATTGCCACGATTCCAGACTCGGTGCTTCAACTGAGATTTTTTTTATTTTAAGAACCTAATAAGACTTTGACTGCCAATAAAAACTGTTGAAGGTAAAACCTCCGCTAACGCCGGTCACCGGTGACCCCCATGTCGTTTAACGTGATAATGATATAAATAAAATAATTTTCCCAACCCGGGAATCGACCCTTTACCATAGGTAGAAGCTACATAATTAATAGCTTCGACAAATTTATTTTAAATTCGTACCTAAGTATACACAATTAATCCATGCATACATACCATACATACCTATTTAAAAGTAGGTGTAGTTATTAAAGTAATAACTTACTAAGTAAATCGTATTGTGGCAGCCATTTCAGCACGAGAACGTTATCTGGCAACCCTTTGATATCTTCCGTTTCCCATTTCCATAGAACCCGTTGCGGTAAGCGCGCGAAAACTTTCAATATGGCTTCCGATCTTTTTGGCGGCAACGATGAACCGCGGATTAGTGATCCGAAACTGAAGAGAATAAACCCATGTCTTGATTCTGATACCCAGCGCTCGAGATTCTGGGTAAAATAAAATCTTAATTAAGTGGAGGAATCCATAAAATGGTACTTCGTTATATGTATAATTATACTTATTGTACCTACTTTCTATTTGTAAGAAAGACAACGGCGAGGCAATGAAGCTATTTTTAGTAGGTAGGTCGAAGACTTGCCTGTATATTGATTAATTATCAACTATTTATAAATACTGCAACAATTATCTACTATTTATACTGTAAGTCACTTGAGCAGTTCAGACAAAGTGGGTACGTAATTATTTATGAAGATTTTAGTCAAGAACGAAGATGTGACTAGTTGGATAGTATATATTGTACACTAGGACGTGTTGTACAAAGTCACCTACTTACGTCATCGGCTATTTACTATTTACATCACTACACTTCTTTTAACATTGAGTTACAATGGTAAACTAGTAGTGCGTGCAAGGGAAAAGTATTGACCTACCTAGGTACCTAATAAAATATATAATTATCTAAATAGCGTGTAACATTTGTTTACCTCGGGTAGAGGTTTCACTGTTTTGTTGTGAAGATGTATGCCTCCGACTTCAACCACTGACGGCGGTAACACCCTCACTCCATTCAGAGTGTGATGAGTGTTTACAAGCACAACACTCGCATTCTTCGCTAGTTCATTTAGCGGTGGCAGCTTGCGACCCAACCTCGTCTCCACAAGTTTCTGTTCGTTCCTAGTTGCATAACTATGCCAATATTTATAAAAGTTTACATTAAACGCGTTTACAAGTTTCTCAAGGAATGACATTTCATCAACGAGTGGTAGTACCATAGAGGGAAAGACAGCCGGATTGTCGTCAGCTCCAAACCTAGAGAATGCCCACGGTGTTAAGGCACAGGACATCAGAGCCACTGAAGGTGCCCTGTAGTTGTGCACGATTCCCATCATGCAATCAGTATGAAAATGTTCACTTAACACGACATCGTATGCACCTTCACCTTTTACGAACTCTTCGAAAATATCCGAATAGAGAACCGTTTGGCAAAGTTGTAAATTAAAAGCCATAATATTGGAGATTAAAGAAAATTGTAATTTACTTGATAAAAATGTGGGATTGTCAAAATCTTGGAGGTTTATTACCTCTACGTTTAATGGTGCTAGACCCACCAAACTGACGTCACGTCGGTTTGCCTGAGGTGACGCTGATGGGAAGAAGGAAACTACAGTGACATGATGACCTCGTCTAGCCAATTCTTCTAAAATTGGCTCAAACACCATAAAATGACTCTTCCCTGGGTAAGGAAGCAGTGCTAGAATTTTGTACCCTTCACAAGCACTCGCGAATATCATAATAAACACGATCGAGAGTAGCATCTTGATATATTTTTGCACACGTCTGTGCGGGAAGATAGCCAGCGGGCAACTGCAGTAGCAAATGCAGGTAGGTATTTATGTGCAATTTCAATTTGTTCATCCTTATTCATCTATTATTGGCTAACCAACTGTGAAGATAGATAAAATATAGCTTGGTACTTACCTAAGTAAATTAACGGGTACCTGTGTGCATCACACAAGCGCATGGGTCTGAACTGCCTGAACACTGAAGAACAGCTTGATATAAATCATATATAGTTTCAACCTTGAACTTCGTTAGTTACCTTGATCTTGTATATGTTTCATTGAAGGTGTGTTACGTATGGCAGATAGATATAAGTGTGTAAGATGTGTAGATATAGGTAAGGTATTATTATAAACTAAGGTAAGTTTCTTTAGGTATCTAATAATAGGTAATTAGCTAATGATATATATTATACAAGTATTAACACATTTTTCAGTATGCGGATGTATACAATTAACATTATTTTTAGTTTCTAACTACATGGCGTTTGCAATCTTTACACATTTCAATAAAAGTGAATTATTGGCGTTTATTTACTAGCGCTTTATCTGCGGCTTCGTTCGCATCATCTTCGTTGCTATCTCATAGGATTCCGCCTAGCTTAGATAGACTATTAAACATCACACTACAATCAATAGACGTCGAAATATGGCTATAGATTCTGCCCTATTCTGAATATTCCGCATATATGAATAAAAGTATACCCCTTTTCCCGACTCCGTATTTTTTTGCTTATCTTGTATTTCAGCAAGCTCGTCATCAGCAATGTCAGCGTTAGCACGCTTTGGGGTCGATGATATTTTCCCGTGTGTCCACCTGAAACCTGAACCAAAGTCGACGATCGGTCAGCTGCGGCGGCACGTGATGCATCACCAGCAGATTTTGCAGCCGGCGGTGAAACATAGGTACCTACGCTGCCTCAAAACTGCCTGCTATAGCAACTTGCGCACCGCGATGAGTGATCACATTAGATATTAGAAGCATCATGTGGCCTACTTTCCGAAACAGCGCTGCGTAGCAACACTAATTCACTAACTGGTGTTTGACAACACATCTAACCTAGACCGATATATCTTTCTTCAAAGATTAAATTCATAGAGCGATATCGTTGTACTCACAGAATAGAAATCTATTTGAAAGCCAACATTTTGTAGGTTTTTATGGGAATATTATAAGGGATTATACCATTATTACCAAGTTAGAATTGCATTCAAAGAGCCAACAGACGTATAATTCAATTGTCTTATTATTAAAATACTTAGACTCTTTCGTCTATAGATCTCCTTCCATTAGAAATTTACATAAATTTAATGAATCAGGTAGTATTCTACAAAATTTCTAGCATTCAAGACTACCTACCTGTAGGTAGCGTTCCCTCTCTCGTTTTGGAGCCAAACAACCACTTCCGGACCAGGGACCTCAGGGCTTATTTTGGCTATTTCTAAAACGTATCAAGAACCGCAGAACTCAGCTGCATGCGATAAGAACTCTCATTTATTTTTGATCTGCTGAACAATGATCAGCTATGTTCACCAACATCCCTACTGTACCCCATCTGTGGTGGTCTGATGGGTCTTTGAGGACGCGAACGGGACGCGTCGTACGCACTGGTCTGGTTCTATGGTCGGGTGGCAAGCTACCCATGCTCGCCGTCTATCTGTACGCCAAGCTCTGAATCAAAGTATATATTTACACATCGATTTTTTGCATTTTTAGGCCCATACTTGTAAAATAAAATTAATAGAGAAACATCAGTTTATGATCTAAATAAAATTACACCAGAGCAAAACAGCGCATTTCTCAGTATCTGCTATCCCTAAGTAATGAAAAAAAAAACAAAGATTTGTTGGTTGTCGCTATAAATACTATTATAGGTATAAATAGATGGGAAGCCCGTGGGTTGGTGAGAATTTAGTGTTTCCTAACTTATGTCTACGTTATGGTTTGTAATGTCGCGGAGAACCTAACGGGTAACCGGGGCTCCGGCTCGACGTGCAGGAGAAGGAACGGGGTGGTTTTTAGTCAGTAAGAGACAGACACTCCCTCCCGCCTCACCCAGGCGGGAGCAGTCATTCGATGATTTTCCCCCCTTAAAAAAAATGGTTTGTAATACTAGTAGGACCTATTTGAAGAAAATAATATTGTTATAAGGCTTAGTAATAATATCCTAATAGACTAATAGTATAATGGGACCGTAACGACTGTGGTACAAATTTAATTCTATACAGGCATTGTACTGTAATCTACCTAGAATAATGAAATAATAAATGTAATAGATTAGATTAAATATATTTTGTGAACTAAATGGAAATAAATATGTATTTGTTTATTTGATAATTATTCGGTACACAGCAATGTTTGAGCCGAGCACCGCCATTTTCTCAGAGAAGTAATAGGTGGCGGCGACCATTGGGAACTGGGACGTAGGAAGTCGTCTCCTTTTGAGAGATACCTACTGATCTCCGGCCAGCGTAACCACGAAGAGATCCGTGGTTACGCTTTTTTTTGTTAAGGGGGGGAAAATCATCGAATGACTGCTCCCGCCTGGGTGAGGCGAGAGGGAGTGTCAGACTCTTACTGACTAAAATCCATCCGGTTCCTTCTCCTGCACCTAGGGTCGATACCCGGCCAGGGTTGTGGGTTAGAAATGTTCAAATATATGTACACACGAGATAAAAATATATATATTTTATTCAATCGCTTATATTAGTATCATTTCTTTTATATATCTGTTGCTGTTCCGCCTCGTGTATCGCTGAGAACACTGCGCCTGCCTTTACTTTCTTCAATATTCTTTTGTCGTGGAACGGGTGTACGTGTGCTGATATCCTGAAATAAAACCAAATCTATATAAGTGTGGGAGAGCCATGCTTCGGCACGAATGGGCCGGCTCGACCGGAGTGTTACCACGGCCTTACAGAAAACCGACGTGAAGCAACGCTTGCGTTGTGTTTCGTCGTGTGAGTGAAGTTACCGGAGGCGCAAATACCCTCCCCTTCCCCAATCTCTCGAATCCCTGAATCCCCAACGATCCCCAAACTCCTAATCCCCAAAATGCCGGTAACGCACTTGTAACGCCTATGGTGTTCCAGGTATCCATGGGCGACGCCGATTGCTTACCATCAGGTGATCCGTCTGTTCGTTTACCGGCTTATGCCATTAAAAAAATATATATATTTTCGTTAGTCTCGCTAAAACCCGAGAACGGCTGAACCGATTTGGCTAATTTTGGTCTTGAAATGTTCGTGGAAGTCCAGAAAAGGTTTAAAAGGGAAAACAAATTTTAGGCGGCGAAGTTTGTCGAGTCAGTTAGTAAAATAAATAGTGCCTAAAGAAAATGAAATAGGAAACCGTTAATAGAATTTGAAAACTACACTTCTGAAAGTTGGTTACTCTTACTACCTATACAACAATAACTGACCTCTGTACAACAATGTCATCTTTGGTAAATACATGAGCAGGACACTTGATATTGCTAAGGTAGTCCACACACCGCCACTGTCGCATGTTGTTCCTATTTGTGTACTTCAAGTAGTACATGTAGCGGTTCAGAATCATTTGTAAGGACCCTTGATTTGATACTGTGAACTGCATTACACTTAAATCTGTAAAAAGGTTACGTTATTTATTCATTACAATTTGTACGTACAATACATTTTTAGGTACTCTATGATTTGATGGAAATTCTATACCGGAAACGAGTTTATAGCAGTTCTGTGTGAACTTAAAAAGGGAATTAGTAAGATGCGTTCTGCCCTATGCAAGCGGCACACGAACTGCGCATTCGTCATATCTAGACACTATTTATTAACAAATAGCGTTTTATAACACTCGGAAAAGGTAATTACTTCCGAAAAATGAAGAATACTTTGTCCGGCACCAATTCAAAACATTTTGCTCTGCAGTCGACCGTGCGTCCACCGGTCTGCATTAATAGACCTCTGTCTATATCGGTTGTTTCAACTGCCTGCCTGAATTAAATACTTAAATAATAAATAATATTTGATGGCAAATCAGACATAGCTATGTAAATTAGTGTAATGAAAAGTGTATTGATCTACTCACTGGGGCTTGTAGAAATACTATGTTGAGTTTCAGTGATAGTCTTGTCGTTTGACATGGAGTCCTCATCATCTTGTTCCTCGTCGTAATTCTGCTCTACAGCTGTCGTGTTCAGTATTCTTGTGCCATTTTCACTTTCGCTGTAATAAAATTTTTTGAAATGGAATTTTTTAAAGTAGTACAAAAAAGTACAAGTAAAATAAAGTACAGTAATGTACAAGACTAAATTTAAAATCAGATGTCATTAACAATATAATGTCATTGTCCATGCATTATCCTCAACCCATAGTTATATACCCAACACAATATTTAAACTAAACTGAATTAAATTAACTTACAAAATGAAAAATCTTACTGCCACTGCTCTCTCGCATTCCAATAAAAGTATTGATGATAATTATTTACAAAATAATATGCTTAGCAATCCAGGAGTACAATAATTTGTGTTACATACGTAAATGTAAACTTGTTTTGGAGAATCACCATAGTATTTTTTCAATTCGTATATTAAACTGTCAAATACCAAGCGGTCACCGGTGACCGCAACCTATTGTTCTATAATTGTGTCTACAAAACCGGTACTCGACGAGTTAAAACTACTTTTGGCACCATACCTTATAAAGAATAAAACATAACATTGTTAATCTCTTGAAAAAATATACACAATGAAACTTACACAATTATATTTGTCATATATTTAGTATCATCTTCAGTATCCTTCGTTATTTCAAAATAACTAATTTCTTCATCAAGGCTTTCCATATTGCAATCCGTCTCGTTGTCATTTTGTGGTGTCTCAGGTGCTTGTTGTGTACTTGTGTCACTTAATTTCTGCAACATAATTAGAATTTAGTTGAACACTGAAACTGAAAAAAGATCAAAGTATTTTTTATAATGATGACTTTATAACAAAACTATTTTCTGTTCTTATAAGGGTATAATAACTATCGTCAGACATACTAAATTAACTAAAAATCTCGGGTTACTCACGTGAAAATACTGAGAAAGGCTGTACTAGTTTCGAGCCACGGAGCTGTAGGCTGCGTGACT